TAAAAAGAATTCTGGCCATTACTTTTCTGGAGACCTTTATAAAGCTTTGTGACAATCTTTGAGTGGGTTTGTTCGCATGCTCCTGTCAGGACTGCAAAAACCTCCTTAATCTCTAATTCAATTCTAATTCAATTAATTCATCTTTAATTTCTTTATTAAACAAATCTCTCAATTGTAGATACTAAAACATATCCCTGTTCTCTAATTTAAACTCTTTTTTAATTGTTTCAAATTATTTAAAAGATCAGCCTTCACTGAGCATAGAAAGAGCAGTCATTCCCCTTTCATTCCACCATGTAAAAGTATTGTCAAGAGCCGCTGGTTGAAAACTAGGGCATTGAGAAGGCCACATCAGGAGTTTGATGTCGTTTTCAAGCTTATATTCCCATACAATCTCTCGCCAAACTTTCAAGGTTTCTTCTGTAATGGGTTTATTGCACTTTTGGTCCACATTTTTTTTAATAACTAGAAATTACTATCTTTTCTTCAATTTGTTTCCAACTTGCCTGATAGTCTGAGGAGCACCTGTAGACTACATATCTCAATTGTGCCGCATAAAAATATTTCTTTAAAGTAGGTACTGCTAGGCCTCCATTCTCTTTAGTTAGTTGGAGTGTTCTTAATTTGATCTATGGTCTTGCTCCGGCCCAGATGAATCTAGAGATTTGTTTGTCCCAAGCATTGAGCTGAGACTCCGGGATTTGAACTGGTAGTGATCGAAAGAGGTATAGAAGTCTCGGTAGTATATTTATTTTCACCACTTCCAACCTAGATCTGAAACCTAAAGTCAGTTTTGACCATGTATCCATGTCCCTCTGGGTCTTATTGTTCTTCTTGTCATAGTGTAATTCATATGTACTCCCAGGTACTTTATGAATATCAACTCCCAATTAATATTGTATTTCTGTATGGCCATGTTATTGGGTGAATAATTTATCTGGAGAACCTGTGTTTTTGTGATATTAAGTTTATACCCTGACATATAGCCATATGTTTCCAAATCTCTCGAGCACTTTAAACAGGAAGTTCCAACTGACCCTGTCAAAAGCCTTTTCAGCATCCAGACTAAACAGGGCTGCCGTTAAATTTTGACCATGGCATTGTTCTACTGTATTTAAGGCTCATTTGATGTTGTCTTGCGTTTGTCTTCCCTTTATGAATCTGGTTTTATCCTCATGAATTAATGTAAGTAAGAATTGTTCTAAACGTTTGAAGATTATTGATGTAAATAATTTGTAGTCCACATTTAGAACAGAGATTTGACAATAGGAATCACTCTATAACTTTTCTTGAAGACTGCAAAATCAGGCAACTGGGCTGTGTAGAGTTGAGAAGACGTTTCGCCTCTTATCCAAAAAGCTTCTTCAGTTCTAATTATTGCTAGTGTGAGAAGCAGATATTTATCTTACTGGAGAAGGGGACAGACAACGACTGGGAGGAGTTGGAAAGAATGGGTCGTAGAAACTCATCTCCGGGTGTTCACCCCTGAGGGTCATTAACCTGAAAGGGTCGTTAGCGACCCCTGTCATGTGACCACATGACTCATGCCACCTGAGTCATGTGGTCCCAGGTGTGAATGTTTGTGGAGTTTTCTGGGGAGGGAGCTGAGAACTGCATTGTAAGTGCTGGAGAGATTGTGCCTGAGTCCACCCCCCTGTTCAGAGAAGGTTCCTCCAGTCTGGTAAAGATGGCTTCTTTAACTCCTCTTTCAAACCATCTGTCTTCTCTAGCCAACACCTGTACATTGCTGTCCTCGAAAGAGTGATCCGTGTCCTTTAAGTGAAGGTGGACAGCTGAGTCCTGACCTAAGGAAGTGGCTCTCCTGTATTGAGCCATGCGCTTGTGAAACGGTTGTTTATTTTCCTCAATGTACAGGTCCGAGCATTCTTTGCTGCACTGGACAGCATACACCACATTACTCTGTTTATGTCTCAGTGTTTTGTCCTTGGGATGGACTAGCTTCTGCCCCAGTGTGTGTGGCCAGGCTTGAAATGAACAGGAGTATGGTGTTTGCCAAAGATCCTTTTGAGTTTTTCCGACATGTGGCTTGCATTTGGGCAAGGTCAGACTCTGCGCTGGATCAGTGTACATGACATTTTTCAGCATGTTGGCCAGGAGAAGGTCAAAGGCATGCTCTTCTTCCATGCCTTTACAGGCTGTGACACTGTGTCTGCCTTCTGCAAAAAAGGCAAGAAAATGGCTTGGCATACATGGGACATATGTCCAGAATCCTTGCCTGAATTCGCCTAACTGGGTATTTACCCTCCCACAGTGGAGGACTGCGACATAGAGGTGCTTGAGAAGTTTGTCAATCTCATGTATGACAGATCCAGCACAGCTGCTACTGTGGATGAGGCCAGGCTTGACTTGTTTGCCAGAAAGCAGAGGCCCTATGAGTCTATCCCACCAACCAGAGCAGCTCTACTCCAACACACCTGGGGCCTCATGTATCAACACTTGCGTGGGACTCATACCAGAAACAAGCGCACGCAAGGTCCGTCACGCTGAAAAAAATTCGTATGTATCAAGGTGTGTGGGCGCCGAAAGCCACGTGTGTTTCCTTGATAAATCCCAATCAGCTTGGAATTGAGTGCAGATGTCGGAGTGACCGGGCCCGCCCTCGTTACGCCCACCTATAAATATGCAGATTTATTTAAATAGGGTCTCCCTGTCCTCGCACGCTGACAAAATGACAAGAAAATCAAAATTTACGGCGTGCGAGGTGGAGGTGCTGGTGGCGGAGGTGGAGGAGCGGCAGCGTGTTTTCTTTGGCAGCCTGACCAGTGGCGTCAGTGCAAAACGAAAACGCTTGGAGTGGGAGAAAGTTTTCGAGAGGGTGAACGCGGTGGGTTCCGAGACAAGCAACCCCGCGGAGATTAAAAAAAAGTGGTCGGACCTTAAGGTGGAGGTCAAGCGGCGTACAGCTGCCCTCCGGAGGAGTACCGGCCAGACAGGTGGGGGTCTGGGGGAGGAGACCCTCATGCCGTTTGGGCAGCGGGTGGTGGCGATTATGGGGGGCGCCTCTGTGGGGGGGACTGTCGCCGCTACCCGCGGCGACTCAGACAGCCTGCCGGAGGGTAAGTGGCGTGTCACACAAATGTCCACATGCTTTGCCATAGATGTAAACGCAACAAATACACAGAAGCAGGAATTGAAATGAACCAATATTTTTATTTTGTCACAGAAATCAATGTGTCGGCCGTGTCGCCGGCTTGTGGAACCCCGGCCCGTGGCAGCCTGTCCGCCGGCTCGGAGTCGTCGGCCAGGACCAGTGGCATTCGGGCCGGCCCCAGCACAAGCACCAGCAGCAGCACCAGCACCAGCGCGCCGACAAGTGGTGGAGCGTCCACCAGCCGCGGCGCTTCTGCTGGACCACCAGGACGCAGTGGAAGGGTCCTCATGGAGGCGGTCCTGCAATCACAGGAACAAATAATTAGGGGGATTGCGGGGATCAACGAGCGGCTGGACCGCCTCGTAAATGTCCTTGAGCGTCTGGTGGACAAAATAAATTAATTTGGCTCATTGAACTGTGTATTCACTTCTTACCCATTCTCATTGTGGCGATGAGATTGTCCCGCACGAGGATGGCGGCCCGGCATATATGCTTTATCTCAAGAACCGTAATGGATACAGAGATGTACTAGGTACCAAAATGTCCGCAATACCCAACTTTATATTCAACTTCAATATATGTATGGGGCTTAAAATCAAGTCACTTTGAGTTATAAAGGAAAAACCACATTTTGGGGCGGACATCTTAGATTTTGGGGTTGCCATCTTGGAATTTTGCGTGGCTAACGTCATTTTTGAAAAGAGTGGGGTTTGAAGAGTATATGTACCAAATTTCATGCTTGTATAAGAAAGTGAACGATTATTTCCTTATCTGCTCAGCTACTGTGGCTGATATAACTTTACTTGCCATAGAGTCAATAAGATTGATGTTACTTGAGCAGAAAACTTGAGTACATTTTACAAAGCTAGATTCTGTTGGACCAAGCTGCTGTAATTAATCACATTTAATTAGACTAACTATAACCTTTTAGTTTCACCTGCAGATTTTTTCAAAGCTTTGTTTTTGATCCAATTGTTAGTCTTATTTCCATGCAAATGTGACAAATCCCTTTTGTCCTGTCTCCCACTGGGACATTCAGAGAGACAGGAAGTTTTTTACCGGGGATAATTTGTCCAATAAACTTGAAGAGGTGATGGGATTAAGAGTCAAACATGTCAGGGAGTAATAATCTAGTTTACAGCGCTGGAAATAATTTATGCCTGCTGTTTATAGGCTAGTATTTGCGTTTGTATAACTTGAAATGTCTTCTTGTTCAGGAAATATTTACATTGAGATCCTTCATCTGCACAAAATGACAATTGTTCAACACTACAAAAAGGTGGTTATTGCAAGACCAAGAATTAAGACAAAACTTTTTTTATATATATAACATACTACTTTTGTTTCAGTTCAGGAGTCTGTATTTGGTGGAAACACCCTGTTATTGATAACAGCTTTTATTAACCAACACTCTCTTTCACATCACCTCCAGGTGACAAAATTGCACTTGTAATAAAAATCCATGTAAACAGGTAAACTCAGTAGCAGAATGAGGTTAATTGTCTCTGTGTGGTCAGAGGTGATCATTTAAATGAAGTTTTGGGTCTTTTTTTCTTTTTTCCTGTTGTTGTATGTAATCTTGAAACAGTTACAAGCCTAGCTCAGTATTGGGTCCAGCACAGCAGGACGGCTGCCTGATGTGGATAAAGCTGCTGTACTTCCGTGTTTCTGAGGTTTGCTTGGAGATTCCAAAACAGAAACAACAGGAGTTTGTTCATTTCATCATGCTGCTTTTGTTCCTGCTGGACCCTGGTGTACATTCTTGGAGTGGGATCAATAGACTGAGTGTAATTCTTGTGCTTGTCAGCAAGAAAAATTTAATTTGTCAGCTGTCTTGGCACTGTGTCAGGAAATGTTTGACTGTGTGACCCCGGGGCCCAGTAGGAGTGTGATATGAGGGGGATATAAATGTCTCTGCCACAACACGGGGCCACAGTCCGCCTGCCTGGGGAGATTGTCACACTCACCTCCAGCATGGAAAAGGTAAGACTAAAGGCTCACTGCTTAGAGTGGACAGAGTTTAACTTTTTAAGGTGTCAGCTGATGTTTGTTTAGGTTTTATTAAGTTTAAATTGTTGTACACATATTATCAACTTTGGACTTTTAAGGTATTTGAAATTCCACCCATAAACTAAAAAAGTCTAATGCTGAACCACTCATTTAACACACAGCAAAACATCAAATTTTAGAAAGTGCCTTTTTTTTCAATAAGACATCTTAACATTAATTCAAATCACATTTCTTCGAGACATATTGTGAAAACAGATTGTTCTTGAACTGAAAAGTGTCTGGGGTGCTCTAAGGAGTTTAATTTGTGTTTCATTTAAAACAACTTTCTGAACTTATTTAACTCATCGTTTCATGGCAGTCTTGACATGACTAATTTCCCTATTCACTTTGAAAGTCACTGAAAGTAATTTAATTTACAGCAAAATCCAAAAGACAATTTGTACCAAAATATTAGGTATTATCAGTTTCTTATGTGTCAGGGGGAAATAGGTGGGAGTATTGCTCCTGTGTGAAGATTTCCATTGCTGCCAAGTAAGTCCACAATATGGACTTTCTGTGCAACCGAGAAGCTCTTTCTAATACTACCTTTTTCCCTAGTAAAGTGTTGACCCACACAGGCATGTTCCATCAGCGTTGTGTTTACACTTTGTCGGGCAGCACGTGTCATCACACACGAGCAGCGTAGCAGTAGCGTAATGCAGCCTTGGTCTGCTGGACTCGGTATACAGAAAACAACACACTCACAGCAGTGTTGCTGATGTGGATTTTATTCTGTGACTGTTGAGCTTCTATTGTATGCGAACAAACAACATGCCTTTTATAGTTTGGATTTTTGCAGGTTCACTCGTATTTAATAAAGTAAACTATATTCCACTTTGCTGTGCAGTTACCTTCAGACAGAGTTAGCGGCTGAAAGTCCTGTTGGAGTCCACGCGGATCAGGGATAGGCCATGGGGTTGTTCTGTGTTAATGATAAATCCATAACCATGAAGTATTTCTCATCTACAAAATCTAATAAACAGTCAAGAGTCCACATATAATGTTTTATTTTGAAATTGACCAGATTCACTATATCCTGCTTGTGCCGTGACTTTCTGTCTGATTCTATCAGCTGTGTGCAGATTGATGTGTGTTGGAAGTGTTGAGCGTTGAAAATAGACTTGGCACGTATCTTTAGCAGAGCAGTACGCCAAGACAGAGCAGAGATGCTTCCTGTGTGTGATACTGCATTGATTAGTATGGAAACATATTTGCTGCATAGCAGGCGCAGGCTGACGGAACATGCTTAACACGCATCCTGTGGGTTTGGGGCTAGTCACAATCAAGTAGAGTGCTGGTTAGGGCCTAAACTGACCAAACTCCTTCTTTATTGATGCAATGAAGCTGAGATTGCTTCAGGACACACCTGAGGCATTGACAAAGCTGCAAAAAAGTCAGCCTTATGTTATGTTTAACTGCTTCTAGGTGGTGGTATAGTATTTGTAAAAAAAGTTAGCATTTTGCCTTATTGCTTTAGAAATACACAGCCATATGGAATTTGGTACACAGATCAGGAGGGGCTTCCTTTTGAAGGCTCCAAAGTCAAAATGGAACTACAACCAAAAATGGCTCCATAGCGCCCCTGTGTGTGACCCACAGCCATGATAACAGCGAGGCTCATGTTGGACCCCAAGACGAACAAAAAGCCTCTTGGATCCATGGGCCATGCCCAACCAGAAGTTGCCCATACTGATTTGAAAATTTAGGTTTTGACATTTCCACCACTTTTAAGGTCTTTTCAAACATTAACTTCTCCTAGGGATTTAATCCGAGAAATTGCAGTCACAGGTACCCACAATAGTGTACTTTAAGAGCACTGTACAACTCTGAATCAGTTCTACTGATTTAAAATCTCATCTCTAACAAACAGGGAACCAGTGTGAAGACCTCAGAACTGGACTGATGTGATCCCCTGTTTCAGTCTAACTGAAGCCTTTTGTAGCTGTTTGATTTTTTCAAATATGTTCCTGCATTCAGACTTTGGTTTTGCCTCTCTGTCTAAATGCATAATCATCATCTAATTGGGGAGAAAAGCATTGAAAAGAGATTCGGCGAGACTAGTCCACATAGTTATGTATCCAGCATAATGCAATATCTGCTATATCTTGTGGGTAAAATACAACAGCACAGGTGATCTTGAAGCTGATTTTTTAAAACCATTTGAGATAAATCAATGTTTGAAATACTTTTACACTCAAAAGCGAGGAATTACTTTGTTTCTTGATGTTTACTGTGAATTTGAGTCTTTGCTTTAATTAGTCTATCTCTGTTTTAATGTTAACCTGCATTCAGGTTATTCTGAGGTGGAGTCATACATAAGGCAGTGATTTACTTTATATCAGCGCTCTTGGCTTGCCCTTTCTTTGCTCATATTACTCTGTCTGACCAAACTGTTGTATGAACTGTGATAAAGTGTTCTGTATTTATGCTTGTAACTCTCCGAACAGATGAATCTTGCCATTATGTCCTCCATCCTGCTGGTCATTTCTGCCGCCCATGCTTTCCAGTACTCAGAGCTGGCACAGTATGTTGATAGCCACCAAGAGGAATATGTGGAGGTATGATAACCGTGATAACTATGGTCAACTTACCCCATACACGGGGTAAGTTGACCATAGGAGACCACTTTTTTTTACATGCTATATTATCAAGACAGTTATGTTTACACTCATTCTGTTGGTTTGCAGGGATGCACAACATCTTGAAATATACGCAGATACACTAGTTAGAAACAAAACTAGGATTGACTTGATGTGGTGGCGGATTTAAAGGTGAGGAGAGGAGCTGATGTTGTTGGTCAATACAGGTCTCAGCTGTGTTAAACCCACTCTACGCCCTCTTTCCTCCCTCCCTATGACTTACACCGCTGGGAGGAGCTAAGTTAGGGAGGGGGGATACTTAGAGGGAGTCACATAGAGGGAGTGGAGCAAATTTTAAAGGTGATATTGACGTTTGAAATCCTTTTCCACAAATAAAGACAATCACATCAAGTTGCATACATTTAAACCCCATGTGACAAATAAATAAATTGCATAAATAAATAAATATTTTTTGCACCGTGTCAAAGAACTGTGTCAGGAACTTTCTGAGTCTGATATGATACCAAGACTTTTGAATGCAGTTTAATTGATACAGACACAGATCAAAGGAAAAAAATGAGACAAAAAACACTTGCACTTAAAAGCACATTGTATTACTTGCATTATGATGCTGGACATCGTAGGTATAGGTGCTAGAATTTACTACTTCAAGTAGTCGATTAAATCCGAGTTGTGTTTGTAAAGCTAATTCACAAAACTTTCCCCTGTGTGTAGAAAGTGGTATAAACTCGGTACCTTTAGGCCATCTAATTATATTTGTTAATTGTTAGAGTTGTGTGATGCAGTTGTTTTTCTTTCCCTAATTTAAATGGACTTCTACATAAAATAGATATGCCAGTTTAAAATGCACAAAAATGGCAAAATGGTCTGAGCAGACAGGGAGACAGAGATTGGAGGATTATATCATCAAAATGTCAGTTTATGAGGATAGTATGTTAGCTTCAATATAGTCTTGAGGTACATACTCTGTGCTCTGCATGCCATCACATGCTCATGTCAGTCTTTATGTATATGTTTCTTTCTTATGCCATTCTTTATGCACTGTTTTAAACAGTGCTTTCTGAGATTCGAAAAACCTTGATTTTTGGACAGGAACAGTAACTTTCAGTAACAGCTTTCCTTTTTTTCTGATTTAATCACGAAAATGATTGGGATTTCAAAATAATATCATGATTTGATATAATGGGCTCTATTTTTGTTCCTGCCAGTTGTAAGGGGGACAGTGGCGCACCTTGCGCAGTCGTGTTTTCATCTGGCGGAGCCCAGCAACCCAGCCAGTTTGGTATTTTCGTAGACTGAAGCGCACCGAGGCAAGCTGGGCGTGGCAGCGCGGTAGGGGGAAGGTGTTGACAGAATCAGCTGGCAAAGTGACATTTTTGTGCTCGTGTGGCAAGTGCGCTGAAAGCTTGCTGATTCAAACCTGGTCAGCGCAGGCGGAGCGCAGCTGGTCAAGTGGTATTTTAGTAGACCGGCGGCATAGTGCACATACGTCACCGATGCCTCACCAACAGGCTTTCCACAGTGTCAGGCACATTTCAGTGCAAAACATGATCAACAACAACCAATATTCAATGCAACTATCTGAGTCAGCACATACATTTAGATCTATATCGATATATTCTGATCTATATTTTATCCGATAAGTGGGTTTGGACACTCAACCTGACCGAATCAACACAGCTGAAACTGCATTAAATTAAATATCCAGTAAACAGTCACACATGATGAAGTTAACAAGATATTTAATTCCTCTCCTCCTTTTTCTCCTTTTTCCCCGCACAGCTCGACCTGGACATGTCTCCATGTCCTCCCCCCGCCCTGCTGCAGCAGCGGCAATGCTGACTAAATGATTTATTTTAGTGATCAGAAGAGTTATGTACTTAGAAAATTTGAACAAAAAAATGATAGAAACTTTCACTCAAAATTACCAGTTTATCTGATGTTCTCATATCCTTAAAATTCTGTGAATAATCAACCCTGAGTCAGGCCCACACACGAATATTATAATATTCAGTTGCGCAAGTTCATTTTATATACCAACATCTATGAAAGAAAGAGCCAGACCACGGGCGTGATGCATCCTTTACACACAGGTGGTTTCGTTTCAATGCCATTATTGGAATTTATGTTGTGATCTGTGCGCACAATCCACCTTTGTCACGTAAGGTTTAAATATATGAAACTTTATGTGATTGTCTTTATTTGTGGAAAAGTGTATTTGTCTTACCAGTGGGTACAACATTACACACACCAAATCCATCTGTGCTTATATGAGAGAGTGTGGAGGACACCCTGCAGCTTACAGCGACACTTGTTGAGGGGCTGCCTTCTGTCGCCATCTTGTGGAATTGCTGTCTTCAGCCATCTCTTGATCTCTTCAACTACTTCACGAAAATTGTAATACACCTCGCTGGTGGCAGATTTAAAGGTGAGGAGAGGAGGGGATGTCATTGGTGAAAACAGGACTTGGCTGTGTTAAACCCACTCCACGCCTTCTCTAGGGAGGGGGGATACTTACGCCGGGCTGTGCCGCTCACCAAAATACCAAAGTGTGCTTGGGCATGCCTTGTCAGCGTGGCGGACCTGACTTACGCCGCGCCTGTGCCACGCTGCTGGCGAGGCACGAAAATAGAGCCCAATATCTTTGAAACTGGTGGGAGAGAAAACAAACAAACAAACATATATATTTCAGAACACGTTAATGTGGGTTTTATTTGTCATTGCTTACATACTCCAAAAGTTGAACAAGGAAACTTTAAACCCTAATATTTAGTCCCAGTGTTCTGAGTATTGTTCCGTGTGTGTTTCAGGCTCTGCGTGACTGGGTGGCAATTGAAAGTGACTCCAGCAATGTCTTGAAGAGACCTGACCTCCATCGTATGATGGAGATGACGGCTGAGAAGCTGAGGCTGATGGGAGGGACGGTGGAGCTGGTAGACATTGGAGAGCAAGAGGTCAGTGATGGTGTTATCCTCCCCCACTCTGCCCCTCTAAAACACTGACAGACAGAGATATCAGAAAATGAATGTAGACCTATCCCTATTTAGCTGTACTTATATAGTCAGGGTAGGTTATCACAGAGGGCCACAGACACAGACAAGCTGCTAAAAGCCAGCAGAGCAGACAGCTGTAAATCCCCCTCTTCATCACTTATTGAGACACTTCAGCTCCACAAACTCATTTAACGTGTAGAGTCCAGATTACAGGTTACCAAAGCACCTTTAACTTTTATAATTGGGATGGACGTGTCTTAACTTTCTATGCATCATACTGTGACACTGAATGGTATAGACAACAGCTGATCTCTGTTTATCATCAAAGTGTTCACTAGGAAAGAGCTGCAGACAATCATGAACCTCTGCCTTTCTGAGCATTATACAGTGTTGCACACAAACTAAATCTGGATAGCACTAAAGCTCAGTAAGACTTGGAGTTCCCCCTGGTGACTGGATGCAGAATAAGGCTGGGCACACATTACAACACCTGAAAACCATGTCAGACCGCACACACAAATGAAGTTTTAAACATTACAATCCTCTGATTACACTTGATGGCTGAATCAACACTTAACGTCTGTGGTATTTATGCCGTTCAGTACACCATAAACTGGGAGCCAAAGCACATGAAAAAGAACTCTTTAACATCACGTAATAGCAGCTGACCATAACACTACACCCATTACAGAAGCATTACCCCAAATTTGGCTGGATTTTGCCCCAAAATAAACAGAGGGGTCATCAAATGGCTTTTAAGAGCACCTTGATTGTGGCAAAACTCATAATCATGCTAACAATAGATATGTCATCATATAATGATATTGATAACCTATATCTCTTGTGACATTATTCAGTTAAATACTAATTTAATTTATGGTAATATATAAAACATTTTAAAATCTGCCAAGCCCATTTTACCCCACAATCTGATCCAAAATAGTTCCCAGTTTCAAGCTCCCAGATTGTTGGGAGTGCAAACCAGACCTTAAATTTGGTGTAAGAATCACAAAGCCCTCCTCCATTTGTTTAAAAAATGGGTCGTTTAATGCAGATCAAACAGGCTTTGATTAAGACTCAATTATGTCTTAAATAGTTATTTGGTATTAGATAGAGAAGATGTGACATTGTGAAGGACAGATCTGTTGACCGATGAAGCTCCTGCAGCGTTTTCCCTCATTACTAGAGAGAAGGTGCAAAGGAAAGAGAAAAAAACTGGTTCAGGAGTCATCAAACCTTCCATAACCACAAGTGTCTTCCTCAAACTCAGACCACAGGCGGTTGGACTGCTCTCATCTTTGAGGTTAAAGTCTCAAGTTTCAGTTTCAGATTTCTTTGATGGCCTGATGTTGAATTATGGTCAGATTTAGAGCCATAGAGATAGGTTGCATAAGAGTGAGCTTATCAGTATGTGTCTTCTCTTATGTGCTACTACGACAACGACAGGCTTTAGAAAAAGGTGACAGTCCTAATCTCAAATCCAAGCCTCCAACAAACCAACAGCTGAATCACACCGGCTGTCTCTGCCTCTTAAATCAGCCTGTCAGTGCGTAAAAGTGTAGAAACTTGATCATTTAAATATTTAATAATAAAGCTGACTGATGTGGAGCTGCAGTAACTCACACATGCATTAACTCTTCTGTCATTCCCGCAGCTTCCTGATGGACAGACATTAGCTCTGCCTAAAGTGGTAACAGCTCAGTTTGGCACCGACCCAAACAAACACACAGTGTGTGTATACGGTCATGTGGATGTCCAGCCAGCAAAGCTAGAGGATGGCTGGGCCACAGATCCATACAACCTGACCGACATCAACGGTACCAGCCTTTAAAACTACAATCTACAGATGCATAATAAATTTGAAGGTCAACTTTTGACACTTCAACATTGACGCTCATGTTTTAAGTTACTTAGAAATCAGCAGCCTAGCGATGCTCTCACCAGCTCTGCTGCCTTTGCATGGATTGCAGGACAGGATGTTGCAACACTTTCCCTTTGGAATGAAGGTGGGGAGGAGGGTTTGTTCTCACATCTGTGCCTGTTCACACCGGCTTCAGAATGGATGTAGGACTGCTGTATAGCAGCTCTGGCCCGAGCTCTCATGGCCGCATAAGTTGCCTCTGGCAGCTTTGTAGTTCTCAAAGGTTCTACCCAAGTAGGGCCAAAAACTACCTGCTATTAAAATGTATTGTCTTTACAGGAGTCAACAGGGTTAATATTTAACATGGAAGGATGAGGAGGCCGTAATCAGCTGTGATCACCTGTATATAAGAATATGAAAACCGAGCTGTTCCAATCATCACACATCCAGTGTGAAGCAGGCCTATCTGTCAATTTTTTTTTCCTACTCTTGAGACCAGCCTGAGACAGAAAATAATGATTTTGTTACAGCGTCAACAGGCAGAGTTGAAACAAGTAGAACTCAGATGTATTTGATATGAAAGTATTACCCTTGGTACTGCTCTTACTGTTGAGAATAAATAACTGTTATTGTTGAATTTCAACCGATCAGAGTAAAGAATTTATCCCTGCAGGGAAATAGATTGAAAAAATCAGATGAATCTACTAAAGTATTTATTTATGTGTTAGAAGACAGAGCATAGGTCACGCAATACATAAATCTGTAGCTGATGTTAAAGTCCTTTTAAATTTATGTTAGATTTCATTCAAACAAAGTCAGACACTATAAACAATATCACAAACAGAGCTTTTTCAGGTGAGCTGCTGCTTTGAAATTAATTGCTCTGCTGTAGTTTGACAACCAGCACTCTTATAACTCTTACTCTTTGTTACAAATGTAGTTTTCTCCTCTGACTGTAAACTAATACTCATATAATGGCTCCTGTAGGTAACCTTTATGGAAGAGGAGCATCAGATAACAAGGCCCCAGTTTTAGCCTGGATCCATGCAGTGGGAGCTTACCAGGCCCTGAATATGGTGAGAATGTTCATTTTTATCACAGTTACATTCGATATACTGTATTGTGAATGCTATACATGAGTAACATCTAAATGAGGCTCCAGATAAGGTAAACTCAGAGACTCTCATTATTTAGAAAATACTGTCTTCAGTTACTGTTGAACACATCCAGAGGGTACACCCACATTCACTCCCTCAGGCCTGTTAAGTAGAAGACATGAGCTCCAGCCAAACTCTCTTGCAAAGTCATTGCTTGTCTTCAACAAAGTCACTTCAACGGTCTGTTCCTGCCATCCTCACATGCTGGCTCTGAAGTAACAAACAGCTGTAAGTATCAAAAGCCTCAGCCAGATGCCAGATGCATTAAGGGGGGAAGAAATCTGTTCTTGTTGACAACACCAGTTCCACACGCAGCTAATGGCTCGTGGTTTGAGGGTTTGCAAAGCCTGTTACAACACCATTACAAAGACTAATTAGCATGCTTGTCATCCAGAAGTGAGCTGCTTTCACATTAGATTCTCCTCCACCAGCTCATCTTCCATCCAACTGCTCCAGCTGTCACAGTTACTTACAGCTGCACAAATCTGATGTAGTAATATTTTCTCCCTGTATGTCCACCAGGAGCTGCCAGTCAATGTGAAGTTTGTCATTGAGGGCATGGAGGAGACAGGCTCTAATGGTCTAGACGCCATGATCCTGGCCCAGAGGGACACCTTCTTCTCTGATGTGGATTATATCATCGTCTCAGACTGCGGCTGGCTCAGTAGACGTCCTGCCCTCACCTACGGCACCAGAGGAAACTGCTACTTCTTTGCTGAGGTTGTGCACAAAGACACAAATCCAGGTTGTAACCACTTGTTGATGAATTTCCTCTCCAAAGGAAACTCTGCAGTTACTGTAGTATTAGCAGTGTCACCTGATGGTGTCTGGAGAGATGTTATGAAGTGCAAAATTCCCATCAAGCATGGATTGGATTCTAAAGGTTGAAATTTAGTTGAAATCAGATATGAACTTCCAAGACTAGTTTCAACAGGTTTTCAACCAGCAAAAAGGTGGTTATGAAATCAGCGTGTAAGGAAACACAACCTGGTAAGGACCACTTTCATGCCCTACCATGTGCAGGGGCAGGGAGAACACAGCAGTGAAGACCCCTCAGGGTGCACAACAGAGCAGGCATCTGTGATGGTTCAGATGACAATCGGTGCGTTTAGATTATTATTATTATTAATTTAACCAGGAATGTCCCATTGAGATGAAAAACCTCTTTTTCAAGGGAGTCCTGGCCAAGAGGCAGCAAAAAGTTACAGATCAACAATGACATACAAATTAGATAAAACAGTTACAAGTTAGGGAGGCTGTCTCAAGTGCTCTCAGTCTGGATGTCAAGTCATTCAAGAAGAAAAGTCCTGTTAGTTTCCAGTCCTTTTGCAACAGGTTCCATGTAGAAGGGACAGAGAAGACAAAAGCCCTTTTTTCCCAGATCAGTGCATGCAAATGGAACAGTGAGTAACAAACTATTGTTTTGAACGCAAATCAACACTTCTCTGTGTGTTTGATTAAATTAAAAATGTAAGAGGGCTGTAGTCCAAGCACGGCCTTGTAAATAAAAGTGTACCAGTGAGTCAACCTCCTAATGGACAAAGAAGGCCATCCCTCTTGAGAGTACAGTTCACAATGATGGGTCAAGGCCCTACAATTAGTAATAAACCTCAGAGAAGCATGATACACAGATGTGCAGTAGCATTGAGCTTGTTTAAGTGAGCACGCTCAGAACACTTAAGCCAGTTTCAGTTTGATGAGCAGTATACATGACAGAGAAAAGGTCATATATAACCCTAATCAAAAGGTTAAGGGGGTTCGATGTCAGAGCTGTTCACATGCCAAATTGTTCTTGGCATGCGAACAGTTTAACCTAGCCCCACTTGCCCCTGCTGGCTGTATTCAGTGACGTGTAAATGGGATTTGTCGAACACTGATGGACTTCATCCTTCGCAGCCTCTTCAATCAGTGTATAATTGTGATGTGCATGAGTGAATATGACATGTGATGTAGAGGAGCTTTCATTGGTCAGATGACCAGAGAAATAATGATGTAGATATAATCCATTTACCATTGTGTAAATGGACTGACCAGTAAAATCAGACACAGCATTAAAAAGAAGGGAGCTGGGATGGGGCTGAGTCGCAAAGCTTTTAGTGGGGGAAGCACAAAGAGTGGGGGGCAAATGGCTGAGCAGTCAGTGAATGTGGACAGGTATGAGGATCATCTGATGGGAGCTGAGCTTGACTTTGTGGCCTTCCTGAAAAATGGCCATGCCCTATTTTGTCTCATGGTTTGTAAATTGTTAATCTAGTTGTGAAAAGAAGGATGTGATTGTAATGATAGTACTTCTCTGAAGTTAGTTTTCAAATGTAGTTGAAATCCAAACAAGGGGTTGACTACAACACAGATTAGTCCACATGACTGATATACATTTACAGAGATTACAAAGATGTGAATGACAAAGGCATCCAAGCTTCAATGATGAGTGACAATAACCTGTGTGACACCTGGCCAGTCAGATTATGTTGTTGGCATTAGGTGAGACACGGTGGTACAACAGAGTAACATGAGGATAGATTCAGTCCATTTATTTTATCAGCGATTAGCAAAATGAAACACTGATGAAATGAATTGATTAAATCTGTCCTAATGTTGCTCTGTTGCACTTGTGTCTATACTCTCCACCCTGTCTCACCCTATACCTCAACCACAACACAATCTGACTGGCCAGGTGTCACAGATAATTAGCGAAGAGGTAAATATCAGCCACCAATAATCCAACCAGCCCTACACAACACTACAGAGCAGAAGAAGCTTTGTGATTTAACTATAAACTTCATAGAGCTCCAGAAGAGGTCTGGGAACTAAAGCCTGCTGCCTCTCAGGGATTTCTGTCTGCTGTACTGATTAAATTAGGCCACAATATTTACAATGCATCACACTACAATAACTTTATTGATCCTCAAAGGGAAATTCATTAAGATGTATGATGAGACTGAAAAATCATCTTCAGTGTATTTTCATGTGTTGGTCAGTCATGGACCTTTGATTAATGTCTTCAAATGGAGATGAACTTCTTACTTTTTACCCAGGCTTTTGACTTAGGCTGTATCCAAAAACAAATAAGTAAATAAATGAATAAATTATATTTTAAATACTTTTTTAATGGAAAAATTCTCACCAACTGGTACTAACAGCCCCTACCCTCAGCTACCTGTCAGTCAAATCATTGCCCCTGACTGTTACTGCAAGCTTTTGATAAAACAGGATTGATGGGCAGATCAAAAGTTGTTGTAAAATGTTTTTATGGTGACAGTTTCTTCTCTGCAGGTTGAAGGACCTAAACAGGACTTACATTCTGGTGTTTATGGAGGCACTGTGATTGAACCGATGACAGACCTCATTGGTATTCTGGGTAAGTTAGAAATGAGTTTCCAAACTGACACAATGAAGGGACTTTATGATATATTGAGTCTGAAATCCAGTTTGAGGACATGGTGCCATAGGGGAGGAAAACTGTGTTCTCTTGTGCCTGCTGTATAAATCCACCGTAGAAGAAAAGGATTTCACAATAGACAGAAGGTTGATGCTGTTTTACTTGAAATGTGTCTGAGTGACCTAGAATGATAAAGAAACAGTTGGGACCATCTTAAAACAGCTTTTTTTTTTGGCTTTGGTTATGCAACACTGCCATTATTGATTGTCTCGTGACTTTCATGTCGATTTTTGACAACTGGTATAATTTTATAATTATTCAGGATTTCTTTGTGGTTGTGTCCCGTGTTTGTGGCTGCTCCCTTGGAAAGCTGTTATTAAGATTGTTGACTGAGTTTATTTTTCAGTAACACGTTTCACATCAAATTAGAGGTCCATAAAAAAAGGAAAGCCTTGCAAGCTGACGTTTTTTAACAGCTGGAGGTGAAATGTACACGACGAGGATGTGTGATATCAGGCTGTTGCTTTTGAAAACTGAAAATCACTGATTAATCAGGACCATGTGTTTACCACAGACAAGTAATAAACTCTTTACAAAACATGCAGTTTCCTTCTTTTTGAAGTTTTTAAGCTTTAGAGAAAGATTTTAAACTGACCGGGACAGTTTTCATTAGTTAGATTGAGAATAATTAAGATGAAAAAAATAAACTTTAAAAGTAAAATAAAAGATATGAGAAGTACGGTAGGTTGGCAGACTGATAGCAGAACTAATATTCAGAGACAGATATGGATTTATAGGTTTAATGTTCTGATGAAAAGGTCAAATCCAACAGGAGCCTCGGATGAAAAACAAAGATGATAGAGACAGAGAGACATTTGTTGGCACAGATTGGATATGTCATATATCATTAACATTGATAAACTCCTCTTTTTCCTGCAGCTGTTCATAAAGTCTGTTCAAAACCACACTTGACTCATCGTATTGTTGCTGTCCTGTCCTCAGACACGCTGATCAACCCCAGTGGTAAGATCCTGATTCCTGGGATCAGGGAGGCTGTGGCTCCACTCTCTGATGAAGAGTGGAGGATGTACCAGGACATCGAGTTTGACATTGAGAACTACAGGAACAAGATTGGAGTGGGCCAGCTCATGTACACTAACAAGGTGGAGGCTTCATTCTGAAACTGTTAAAGCTGCTCCCTGAGGAGGTTTGTGGACGTGACTGTCACTGTTTGTTCCTGTAGGTTGACTTGTTGGCTCACATGTGGCGCTATCCTACTGTCTCCATCCATGGCATTGAGGGGGCTTTTTCTGACCCCGGCACGAAGACCGTCATCCCCGCTAAGGTCACTGCCAAGTTCTCCATCAGACAAGTTCCCGACATGGATCCTGCTATGGTCAAAAAACAGGTACAGCTGCAGACTGAAGCACATTTGACTCTTTTTCTTGAGGTAAAGTTCATCATATCTTCTTCTCTTATCTTGTTGGCGTGATGCTTCAGGTAACAGACTACCTTCAATCCGTGTTCGCAAAGAGGAAGAGTCCCAACAGGCTGAAGGTCACCATGGTGATCGGGGCCAAGCCGTGGCTGGCTAACACACAGCATCCTCTCTATGAAGCTGGGAAAGCTGCTGTTAAGAGAGGTACAGAGCACATGCATTGGCTCACATAGTCCTGATACTGAGAGTATCATGGATCATTACCAGGCCTCAGGTTTGAATGATTTCTGTTTTCTCTGACACTGCAGATTTACAATTATTTACAGTATGAATTATTAACATTGACTCCTACTTTGGTCTTTTAGCTGCATCCTGTGTTCATTAAGAGTCACTGTGTTCGAAGTCTGCACACTGACACGTTTGTAAAGTGACCTGTGATAAATGATCCTCTACATGTCCTGCTGTTACACTTAGCACTAAGATGTGAAGGCCTGTTATGAAAATTATAAATGTCTTCATTTATGAAGCACTTTTTAAAGTCTATATTACAGAGTGTTTATAAAGCAACGAGAAGAAATGTAAAACAGCATCTCTTCAGCCTAGTTCTTAAAGTCCCACTCTGATCATTTTTACTACTTAAAGTGTTCTCAGTGGTCTTTAAACTGTGATTATGAAGTTTTTAGTCAGAATCATGTTACCTGTGTCCTTTCCAAGAGCTTAACTTCTGCAGAGCTCCAGAAGCTTATTTGTAATTCACCTCTGAGTCGTGGGTGGAGACAGCGCTGCTCTGCACACTCCTCTTCACACTCCTCTTCACGCTAGCTTGTAGCCTAACATTGCCGGTGTAGTAGAAGTAGCAGGTAATATAGGAGCTATTCAGCTCTCGGACACTAATGTCTTTGGGGGGCATAATGAAAGCTAATATCATAATCAGCTTTCCTACGAGCATTGCAATCCGCTCACGCACACGCTTGTTCCGTGATTGTCCTCTCTACTTCTCCAAGTCTTGCCTGCATAGCGGGGCTTGGAATAATGACGTAAGAAATCTCACTGTGTCTGAACCTGCTGTTCTGGTCTGCCAGAGATTCACAGCAATTTGAATACAGAAATACTCAGAAATGCAATTTTGCACTTAGTTTTCTCATTTCTCATGATATGTCCTGCAGCATCAGAAAACTGCCATATGAACATTTAGACAACAAGAAAAACATGATTTTTATCAGAGTGGGTCTTTAATGAGTTTATTTAACCTGGTTTTTCACAGTGACCCAGTTTACCTGTACTCTATATATGGTGCTGTCTTTAGAGACCCCCCAATAAGAATATATTTTCAGTTGAATTATACCTTCTCTTCTAGTCTTTGACCTGGACCCTGACCTGATCCGTGAGGGAGGGACCATCCCTATTGCCCGAACCTTCCAGGATGTGACGGGAAAAAGCCTCATTATGATGCCCATCGGAGGCTTTGACGACGGTCTGCACTCCCAGAATGAAAAAATGAGCAGGTCAGACTCCATGGCTTTGTGTTTCATTTTTTGAAAGTAAATCTTGATAAGTTACAGAACTTACTGAGACTTTTAGAGATGACTGGATTTAATTAGAGGGAGGGAAGCAGTACCTCTTAAACTCACACAGTCTGAACATCTTCCAATCATCTGGTTCAGTGGACTGAAACAATATTTTACCTCAATATGCAACATAAAATGACAAGTAAAAGAGCCAGATAACGGTTATTCCAGTATAGAGTTAATATGCTTAAAACTTAAACAACCACCACGACACAAAAAAACTTTAATTTTAACCAGTGACACAGTCATGATTCAGACAGAGAAGTGGAGAGGCCATTCAAACTGACAGACACACAACAGCAAGGACACATGACTCCCATCTGTTATAATGAGAGTCATGCATCCTTGTTGTTGTGAGAGTGATATCACTAATGATATTAAGCAGGGGCATGTCCAGACCTTTTAGACTGGGGTGCTCTGACCTCAGCTATGGAACTGTTGCTATGGAATTAATCTGAAATGAAGTAAAATCTAAAATTATTTGTTAATATCATGAGACTAGGTCACAATTTACACCTGTGTCATGAGAGAAGTGCCCAGAAAAAAGCATTTGCTCTACATACGTCAAAATAACTTGACTAAGTGATGGTAGGAACATATGTAGAAAGAAGTGACGAATGAAACATTCTTAAAAATTGCAAAACTGATCCCATAGTATGAAGAGAAAGAAGTATCAAGATAATAAGCCATAATTATGATACAAAAGTTTATTTCACATAATTATTCTTTTAATTTGCTAACATGGGATAGTGGTTGGTGAAATACTTTTGTAACTTACAACATTTATAGGTAACAAGGTTTCAGAGAATAACCCTCTTTTTCCAGACCTGCATTCCAGTAATGCTAAAATTATTTATCTCCAGTTAAGGTTGTGAACTAAAGTGGTCTGAGCCATAAAACTCCCAGGCTGGAAACCAGTCCCAGTCCGACCCTGCATATCAGCTAGCAAAGCCCCACTGCAGCTGACCATGATCCCACCAAGTTTAACTAATGACCAATTGTACCATTATGGTGTCATTTTTTCAACATCTCATTAGAAGGGTGATCACAGTCCTTGTAAATGCTCTGTAATAAAGCGTCATATTATACCAAAATATTAAGTTAGAGGAAAAAGAGCTACAGGAAGCCGAGGCTGCATGTGGTCAGCAGGCTGCAGACTTACCAGAAACAAATGTTCACTTTTGGGGGAAACTTCCTCTGATAGGGGAAATGAGTTACTACAGCTCAACATGCAGAATAAAAAAACCATTAAAATGCTCAGGTTAGTTGCTTTGGTATATAAACAGGTATAGATACTTGAGGTTACAATGAAGGTAAGGATTCTGCCATAGTGACATCTCACATGCTGAACTCTTTCTCTTTTTTAAAACACCCAGAGAATCAAAACAGAGGAGAAAATTAGATTTCTTCTCTATTGTAGGTACAACTATATCGAGGGAACCAAATTATTCATCGCCTACCTGAATGAGGTTTCCAAGATTGCGAGGACTAGTGTGTGACGTTTCACCGCATCATGAAAGACCCCCTGACCCATCCAGCTCCAGTGATCTTACTTTACTGTGCATTCACCTTGTGCTTTCACCTTTTTACAACATTCTTATTTATTCACACTCTATCTATCTATCTATCTATCTATCTATCTATCTATCTATCTATCTATCTATCTATCTATCTATCTATCTATCTATCTATCTATCTATCTATCTTTATGGGTGAATGTAGCTGTATATCAGGCACTGCTGTAAGCGTGTGTGTTTTTCTGTCATGTAGTAAAAACTCTAAGATGCAGCCAATGAGTGTGTTTTCTTCATTTTTCACTGTAGAAAATTTGTCAAAATCTGCATCTAAGTTCTGATATTTTAAGTTCTGCAGTGTTCAATAACAACATTCTCACATCAATAGTAACATTTGCACAGCAGTTGGTGCATTTCTCAGAACAAATTAGTACAAACTGCAAAACCAAGTGGATAACCTGCAAAAGCGCGTAACTTGCTCAAAATTAGTGGTGGATTCGTCAAAGGCAAGTATTCATGTCAGTGAAAGTGTCTGTGTCATCAAAATAATAAGTCCTGACAACATTGTTTATGAACATGACAGTCAAATGGCTTTGTCATGTTTTCATTATGACATTTTACTCTCTCTGTGTTTTCCAGTACAAAAAAGTCAGATCTTGGTGACTCTACCTGAAAATTCTCAAGACAGCACTATACACTACCTGTACAGCCATTTGAAAACAACAGTTAAGTTACACATTACTGTATTTGGTGAGGTAACTGAGTACAAGACACACTAGACCAGGCTGTATGTTTTACATATTTACTGCATATGCTCTTTGCAGTTCTACAGCATTGTCCAAAAAAAACAACAGTCACTTATTTAGGAAAACATAAGAAATACCATATTGTTAGAACTGTGCACAGATATAAACAATATAACAGTGCATATTACTGTAAACTGAACATAAATTATTCCTGGAAATTCACAGTGTTTCTCCCTACATTTGGTTGCACCCGTCGACCAGCCTCAGCCATAATGAGGCCGTGATTGACAACATGGTCCACAAGTGTAGCCCTAATTTCATCAGGGATTTGTTTATCTACTTCACCTCTTCTTCCTCTGCCCCTGTTTTTTCCCTTACCCTTACCCTTCCTCCCAACATTCTCACCCCTTCTCCTCGACGCTGTCACTGATGCTCCATTTTTGTGTCACAGAATTGTAGAAATGGTACACAGTATGTCCTGCTTGGTTTATATATGCTAGCAAAGTGAGGGTTCGTGGGATTCAGCTCTGAGTGACTGTGGACAAGTGGCTTGTCATTGGTTACAACTAATTCTTCATACAACTCCTCATGAGTGAAGGCTGAGATTTACCTGAGAGAAATTGTCCAATTTAGGAGACATTTTCAGTAAAAAAACGATAAAGGGATGTATGAAATCAGCTTGACAGATTTTGACAACTAGTTCAACAATTTTGTATGTAATGACTCAAGCAATGAAATGAGGACTATTAGTTTAATAGGGAATGACTAGTCAGCATTAAAAATTATAGTTAATTTTGTCCGACATGACATAAGCAAATGATAATGTTATAAAACAGCAGAGAATTGAATGAAAGTAACTCATACATGTCCAAGAGCATTTGCAGTTTGAGAAAAACTGTAAGAAATCACCATTTGGTTGTTTTTCCTTAATGTTGGTTTGCATAGTAAAAATGACGATGGCAATATTTCACCACTTCTTTTTTCATGCATTATGTCCCATTTTATTGAGAATCAGAAGAAACTGATCATCTTTATTAGAATAAGAGAAAACAAACTTGCCATTACTATTTTAAACACAAGTAGGTCAGTCCTTAGTTTGAGGTCTGCCTTTGTCTAAAAACACACAATCTTCAGTATTTGCCATCATCATAATACTTGTTTTTCATTTTAATATCTCCACCCTCACCATCTGAGCCTCACCTTCAACTATACCTTTTTGTAAGTCCACCTTTCTTTTTTATATTTTCACATTTAGCACATTTTTTAATTTAACGAGTCCTTTTTCTAATTGCTAAAAAGGTCACAACTGACCAAGGGAGGCAAAGAGATATGGAGGTCTATAGTATGAATAACATTAAAACCTTTTTTAGCAAAAGGCTCCCCAATAACTTGTATTTGTGTGAATCTTTTATTTTCAGTCCTTTTACATTTTATAATCCATTAACAAATGGAAAAAAACATCTGACGTGACAAACTGAGAATGTATTTGCTGAATAAAAAATATCAATAATTTTCTTCACACTTTAAACATATCAAGTCCTGTAATGGTAAAGCATATTCAAGCTCCTGCGAGGAACTTTTGTCCGTGCCCCCCCCTTTTTTTTGTTTGTTTGTCTGTTTTAAGATAAGACAAACTTATTGATCCTCCAAGGGAAATTCAATAAAGGTAATTTCAGCACCTCCTGTGGACTTCTCCGGTCCTCTACATGCCTTAACAGTGTCTTACGATGAAAAACATCTCATTCCACTGACTTCTGACTGTCAGATGTTTCATTTATTTAATCAAGGCTGTTTCTTCAGCTGTTCAATTGACACCTACCCCACTAGCACCAGTTTAAAGCTTTCAAAATTACAAATGAAAAAAATGTTAACTTTGTGAATGGTAGTCTTCTTTGCCTTTGTATTTCATAAAAAGGCCTAAATATGAATTTCAGACTATTTCATGCATTGCATGATTTTCTGTCTAAAGAGCCCGTCTCTCATTCACTTCAATTATTGATGCCAAAAATAACAACAACCTGAGTTTCCTTGGGGGGAAAAAATGGATATAAAGTTATTGCTTTGCTATTTTATTATTGTACATTTAAGTGTCAAGCTAATGTATACTATTTTTAATATTATGTGCTAATGCAAAACTCCATATTTAAATTCTTTATTTCTGGCTCAAACTAGTAACTCAAATAAGATGATGAAACAGTGCAGGAAGCAGTTAGAGATGATTTCATGAATCATCACAGTTTATTTCTCACTCAAGCATTAATTGGTTTATTTTTTAAATTTTATTTACTGTGTCATACGTAGTGTAATATTGCATTAGTGCCATGAATCCCAGCAGGACAGCGGTATGAAGGAACCCTGGTGTTGTGAAGAAGCCGTGTCTGACACTTCAGCGGCCTGATTCACAACACCAGCTGACCCTCCACACCCTTACACACACACAGACACACACACTCACACTCCTGTAGTGGCACAAAGAGGCAGTGTGAAGTCAGGAGTTTATCTTCAGTGAGTCAGCAAAGAAAGGAGAGACTGGCAGGGCGCCACAAGGTGTTTACAGTTTGCTCTCAGAGGGCAGCAGAAACAAAGAGCCAGACGGTACAAGGATCTGAACAATTAGAGGAAATCAATCGGCCTCATTATCATTAACAGCAGCAGAATACTTACCTCTTCAACCTCTTACTACTACCATATGACTGACTCCAGCTGCACGTGGTGAAGTGGTTTATTATACTAACTACTGACAGGAAAATAAAGCTGAGATCGGACAGACAGCAACCTGTGTGCTATACTCTGTCTCCATTAGGGGGCAGTCTCAACACAGCAACTTTCCTCTGCTTAACCAACTGGAGGGTGATGGTGCCAGGGGGCTGCAAACCAGAACTTTACCTGGAGAAAAAAGCACAGAGCATAGAAATTAATTCAGCCCATTAATACCTAAATTATAAATTTACAAAATATCTTCCTTCTTCATGAATAAATTAAGGTCATCTAATTTTGTTTGCCTTCAGTTTATGCACTCTGAGGGGAGGTGGCATCTGCAGGGGTGCATCTAGACTTTTTGACTGAGTTGGGCCAACACTGGGGGCATTAAGTGTGCACACATGACCAAATGAATACTTAGCATTTACATTTTTGTCCTGCAACTTTTTCTGCCAACATTATCTGTAAAAGGCATCTGGGAATTGCAGGAATTATCAGTAATAAATATGTGGATGTGTATTAATTATGACTTTCAAAGGTTGCACAATAAAAAGGCAACATTGAAATCTTCAAGAGTGTAATCATTTTGGGATTCACAGCTTACGTCCAAAGTCATGATTCAAAAGACTGCTCAAATGAATTTCTGTGTACAAAATATATTAAATATGTTTCTTTCTATACAGAATGACATGGAACCTGTGGTAGGGAGTAAGGGATTGGGAGGATCTACTGAAAATACTAAAGTGTGAGGTTTCCACGGTCTGTGATGGTTTAAGGGACCATGTCACCTGCTGTTGCTGGTCTACTGTGTTTTACTAAGTCTAAAGTTAAAGCAGCCCAGAGTCTACCAGGAGGTCTTAGAGACCTTCATGTTTCATCTGGTTGGAAGCATTATGGAGATACAGATTTCCTTTTTCAGCAGGTCCTGGACCCTGCTCACAGCACCAAAACTACCAGAAACTGGTCTGCTGGCTGTGGGTTACTGTACTTAATTGTCAAGCCAACTGCTCTGACCTGAACCCCAGAGAGGATATCTGGAGTATCATCAAGAGAAAGATGAGAGACACCAGTGTTATATATTTAATGTTACCACACTTACTTGAAAAAAGTCCAGCTTTAAGAACATGGCATGATAGCTTCTTTATTTTCTCCCCCAATTAATTTTATAACAACTGTGTTGAAGTTTTCTTTGTAAAATCTCACTAAATTTAAGCAAATACGGATTTAACTGTCATTTCTACTGACTCAATGTTTTTTTTTTTTTAACCCTGGAGAGGAGCACCCTAAAATTGGGGCTGGGAGCAATGCATAAAACAAAAAAAAACAAACAAACAAACAAAAAAAAATGCTGTGAGTGGACACACGCCCTACAGACTGGACAGATATTGTATCAGTGCTTTGCTGTTCTGCTTACTGGTACTTAAGGCATGATACTCCAATATCAGTGTCTGGTGCTCCAACTTTTCTCTGTGTCATCATGATTTTTTTTTTATAAGTGGATTTAAGGGCCTGTGTCTACCAATGACATTTGCTGAGCTTGTAGTGAGGGTATTGGCAGCACTCGGAATTTTACAGCGATAGAATGGCACCCAAAGTGTCCGATTTTTTTGTTGCTGAACTCAAAGCTAGCATTTAATCCAACTGTTAAGAAATTATTTTATTTGAGATTTATTTTATTTATTAATTTTTTAAAATGGGACAATATACATAAATGAACATTTACATGTAAACGCATGGGATTATAGCCAGGTGGCTAATTTCCATACAAAGTCCCATCAGCAGGTTGGTGTCAACACATAAAACAAAAACGAACATAGAAATAAAACACACAGAGCATATTAAAAGACAAGCAGCATACATAAACCCTAGACAACCTAAACAACTTACAGTCTAAAATAAAACATTGGAGATGGGGGACCATGGGAATTATACATGGTGAATAATACACATTAATGCAAAGAAATATTAAATGTATGTTGATTGCACATTTCCCTGCTGCCCACAATGGTAAAGGTCCATGGTGAATATAGTATTGCACGATGCCCATAACACATGCACATGCAGATGTGTGAGTAGATATTGCACTAAAAAGCATACAAAGATGTCGTATGTAAGCACTAATTTACAAAAATGGCATACATAGGTGTATTTGTGTACGCGGCATTGAATAATTATGGGTGTTGCCCCTACACACTGAGCCCATTAGACAAACATACAAAATTAAACACAGTTATGATCACAGAGCTGGTTTTCCAACAGCCATGCTCGAAGGTGTTTAGAAAAGTAAGTCAGGATTGGGAGTTTTCGTATTGAGCTTGGTATTGAGCTTCATGTCTGGGAACATTGCTTGACCAGAAGTACTTTTTCAAAATGGTGAAAACAATGCAATCACCTCTGAGGCCTGCTCTGGGTGATCTACTTCAATTTTTTTTTCAAACTCTCGAAAAGGTAGTGGGGTGTTGGAACATCACAGTGCTAATATCAGAGTCACCCTGCTTTCACTGACCAATCAAAATCAAGACAGGATAGCCTAGCAGGTTAGCCTGTCCCATATGTGGAGGCTATGGTCCTTGCAGCGGTTGTGGTTTTAGGCACCATTTGCTGAATGTCATCCCCTCTTTCTCCCACATTTCCTGTTTCTTTTCACTTTTCTATCACAAAAATATAATATTAATAATATAAATAATAATAATGATGATAACTTTAAAAATCAAGACAGGGCTGGACTTTTGATAATAATTTCCTCATCAGTACTTGAGGTCAATGTGGAGGACAACATGACAACACTCAATTCGGGGTATCCCTTTAAAAAAAAAATGAATAAAAAGCGAATATGAAGCACATAGAACCATTTCAAACAGCTTAAATGACAGGATAACATTTATTTTCTGGCAACAGTAAACTCGGGTAAGAAGCACCCTGAAATTGAGTTTGTGTGTACTACCAGTGAAGTGTTAGTGGACACAGGCATTCAAAATCTTATGGAATTGGAGTCAGAGAAAGTAGAACTGCAATGAAATGGTGACTAAAGGCCTCTTAATATCTGGGCACTGTGTTGAAGGATAAACATGAAAGAGTTAAAGGTGTAAAAACTACTCTTGACTGAATGTAGTGTTTGAAAATTAAGGTGTAAAACCAGCAGCATTTGACCCCTGGAGAGCCTTATAGATCACATGAACCAGACATTATTATCACAAACACAGAAAGTGATAATCTGCAGCAAACCGCTTCCAAAAACTCAGTGTGACAGCTGCTCAGCAAAACACTAGACAGTCCTCAGATGTGTAACAGTGCTCTATTTGGTTGCCTATTTATAAGTGCTTTGGTATTGAGGACAGGGCTGCGATGGAGCTCAGAATAACTCTGGTTTCACGGCAGAGAGACTTAATCCACCTTGAAGCAGCCGCTGTGCGTGCAAACAAAATCACGCCATGCTTTAGGGTGTTTGTACAGTGACATGATCTGGTTTCTCTTCAGTATAATATGCCAATATATAACACATCACATTTATCAACAGCTAAAACCATCAACTGAAGCACTGTAGATGAATGATGGAGTCACCCACATATAGCCACGAGCAAATAGAAAAGATTCACTATACAATCAAAGATGACCTCTTTGTTCATTTGACTGGATTAGACATGTACAGGTTGTGTTCAATACTGGCAGGAAAGGTCTTAAAGCTCCTGTAAGGAACTTTGGGTTTGCATTAAGAATGGCACCCACCCCACCTACTGTGGGCAAAGCATTATCATCATTCTTTTTGCTTATTTTGTCATTTCCGTGATGTTTTTAGGTCAAATACCACATTCCATTTCTGATATCAATCAAATGTATCACAAATATCAAATCTTTGCCCTAGAAAATTTACCAAAAACAACCGACAGCACAAACAATTCCTACCAAAGCCCCAGCCCGAGATAGAAAATAAATACATAAACAGCTGATGATGGGTAATTTGTTTTATTGTTATGCTGATAACAAAATCATATCCAAAAATAAATACCATTTTATTTGTGGGTTTTGGAGAGCAACCAAAAAGTCTGCAAGTTTTAATACTGTAAAACTCTTAACTCACGCATTCACTGTCTGATGGACATCAACATCACAGACTTTAGTTTGACCTCGGTCATATAAACTTCTGATGTTAGTCTGGTGAGTGCGTTTAGTGTTAGAGAACTTCACCATGAAATAGATATCAGCGCATGCACAGGAGCGCTCAGTCTGGCAGTAGAAATGTTGAGAGATGATTGAAAAGTCAGAACTGTTCTTGGCTCTTTGTGTTTCAGGCAGAATCAGTAGTGGGCCTGCACCAGAACATTTATATATCTTTGCTCACTATCTTTACACTAAAAAGTGCAAATTGCAAATTTTGAAACAGTGAATATGTAAAACAAAAATCAGTAAATGTCATCCATCAGGACTAAGTTGATACAGGTTATCAGTATGAGTTAAAAAACAAAAAAATAAAAGCTGATCCTGTAATCCTGCTCAAAATAAAGATGGCTGACAGAAGGTCAAAAATGTCCTGCAGCTCAAGTCCGTATTTTGTGATCACCAAAATTCTGATGTACTTATTTTTAACATTAAGAGAACAGCCTGAGGAGCTTCTGGACCCCAAGCATCTCTGTTAGAGGAACATGGAGCAACATCCTGTCCTGCAATCCAGGTAATGGTAGCAGAGCTGGTGAAAGAACCTCTTTGACCAGACTATGACACAGTAAATGATCCGTATTTTGATACAGACATTTGGCTGCTCACTACCACTACCAACCAAAACCACTTTATTCGCACAACTTGAGGACTTTATTCCCTTAATATTAGGACTTTACTACAACTTCGTTTGTTGACAGTGAATACGGATCTGGTGGAAATTTTAGGATAAGTTGCTGATCTGTACATAGTAACTCTAGTGTGCTGATCATGGAAACAACAGTGTATTAAAAATTTCCTCTTTATTTTCAAAGGTGTGTCAAGGCTCTCCTCATCTTCCTTCAGGGTGAGATTACACCCCTTCACTTGGAGTCAGGGTCAAACTCACCCTGTCAGGGTTCTTACTACTACTTGACTTTATCCCACACTTAAATAACAAATGAGGAACCAAGTGCATCTGTGTTTGTCTACAGAGAAGCAGAGGAAAGGCTCTCTTGATGCCCTGTTCTGGCTCTTCTGCTTGTTGGTTAAACTTCGCAGCTTCACACGGGGCAATTCCTCATAATGAAGCTTCACACCTATTAGAGAGAGCTGGTCTGTAGGTGAGAGCTGGTTTACTGCAAGGCTTGTGCTGCTCAGCTGCACCAGTTTTCACAATGTTCCCCAACTTTGACGTTAAATCAGGTTTAAAGCGAACCCTCTGACCGCTCCATTAATCATCAGTTTGTCCTTCTGTCTGACCATTCCTGGGAGGGTCAGGCTTCTTCTAATTCCTCTACAAGCTGCCGGGTCACACAACATAATATCCCAGCAACTAATTTCTCCTAATCCCTTTTTTATCAGGTCGACTGGCCTTTTTTCTCAATCTAATTGCCACAAAGCCCACATGAGGGCTTTTGTGCCAAAAGAAAGTTCTTTTACGGTTTCAATTAAACGGTAGGGCCGGCCCAGTGGAGGCGCTTCGCCCAATGCCAGTGTCCTTCAGACAAAGAGTGTCACTGCGCATAATGGGTAGAAACACTTCAGTGAGAATAGAGGGAAAGAGGAGCAAGATGTGGGGAAAAAAGGGAAACCGACCCAGCCGTTCGCCTCACAATTTAACTCATTTCAGAGCCAAAGGTTTGGAGTTCTTATTCCAAGAAAGAGCACAAAGATTTAAATAAGAATCTAAACTAGCCTGAGGGATTAAGAGCTGCAGCAGGCAGTGTGTGAGGCTCAGTTAAAGTGAGTTATGTGAAGAAGTACATCACAGTTTCTGAAAAGGTGAACAAAGTCAAGGATTCCAGCTTGATGCTCTGGCAATGGTGTATTTCAAGGCTCGCATTGATTTCCTTTGTGTTTAACTCTCAGAGAACTTAAGCAACTTTGGAATGCGTTTTTTTTTTTTTTTCAGCAGAGTATTTTATTTCCTTTCCTCCAGCTGCTCACATAAAACCAGTGAATATCTGTACTGTGTTTCTGTACGGAAAAGTGAGCAGGTTATAAAACTCTTTCTGTTGACTGAGGGTTTAATCTGTGATTATCAGGACGGACTTCGCCCTCGCCCTGTCTGCCTCTCAGCTGATCCATCCAAAAATATCCATCCACATTTACTCCTGAGCTGTTGAGATCTCCAGATTTTCTTCCTGGATCTTAAATCTCTCGGAACCTATCTGTCCACTGCAGTTGACGCCATTTAGAGAATAATACTAGTCCATGAAATCATGTTCTTATGACATTATTTGAGAGCAAATGAGGAACAATAAATAATAATAAAGATACAAAGGATATTCTGAAATGTGAATACCTTCTCTATCTCCAAACTCATTATTTTCATATCAAAGTGATGTCCCTCACTATGTGTGATTTTCTGACCTCAAACATGCACATACATCCCCGTTCTCATAAAGGTTCACACGTGTGAATGACCTGATGAATACATAGAGGTAATGCTTAAAAAAAGTGAAGTAAATGAGATGGGATTTTATTTTTGGCCTAACAGTAAAGTGCACCCCTTAGTGCATGTAGGAGAAAAATCACAGGGAGGTCCTTTAAACATCCACAGTTGAACAATAATTTTTACCTGTCTGGAGTAGAAAGATCTCAATCTTATTTCTAAGGTTCTTTGTGCATCCACTGCTTTATCCACTATTTTCGATTTACAATAAAAATATCATTTGAAATATAATAATCATGAATTATTGAGGAAAAAAATACGGGGATTTACTCCTGTGTGGTTGAGACATGGGGCTCTAATTTCGTGCCTTGCCGGCACGGCTTCAGTCAGGTTCGATGAGGAATTCCCAAACACACTTTGGTGATTGGATAGTGCTAAATTTTAGCTGAGGCAGCAGAGCCTAACCTACATTGCCACTAGTCCGTGTGGATTTTATCCATAGGATTGAATAGGACTGCAGACGAGAGACCACTGGCGACTCCACGCCAGTGCAACTGATAGAATGCCTTCCAGTGGCAGCGTAGTTATAGCATTCATGTAAAATTTCTGTCTGCTAAGGACGTCTGAACTAAGTATGTCACCACTAAGACGTGTGACACAGACCTGTACAACACTTGTTGTCACTTTAACGAAAGTGGGGGCGTGTTTATTTGTGTTTTCATATCATTTGAGTTCATAGATATACACAAGAGTTGCCATATTTGGGCTGACAGCTGTGCAACTGGCAAAATGCCAGACTTTTGTGCCGTGTACTTATGTTCCTGTGAAAGGAAATGAAGAAACATGGAATAACATTTCACAAGAAGTTGTTTTATACGATAAAACTGTTATGAATGAGTTGAATTTCATATGTATTTCTTAAAGCAATGGTCTACCATTTGGAAGCTTGGTACTTATTAATAACATTGTTCATAAGGCTGTTATGGTCCTATGGTCTGATCTACGCAATAGAAAGATCAAAAAGAACGAAAAAAATTCATTCAGTATATCTGCTGCAAAAAGGCATAATAATCGACCAACGGCGGTTTGGATTGGTCCGTAGGTTCATCCAATCCCCTGTCTCCCCTGCTCCGCACTATCCCGCCCATGGTCCCGCCTCCCCCCCTCACGTACATGTGATTAGCGAGCTGCACAGCTGCTGAAGCGTAATGGAGCCGGACAAGACAAACACCGACACCAGGAGGCCGCTTCTGTTACCCTCCACATCGAAGGGAAGAAAACAAAAAAGTTTCGAGGAAAAGGCTGAAGTAAGGAAGAAATATGAGCAATACAGGTGCTAACAGAGAGTCTACATTGGAGAAACATACGACCGGTGTTGTGTCGTAGAATGCACCCCTTCATCCCATCCACTCATTAGCTTCTTAAAGTTGAGGAAAATGGTCTCAAATCTAAAAGAAAATACAAATATTGGATCATGACAGCATGTCAAATGGAGCAGCAAACTTTCATTTTGTTTTATGTGGCTCAAAAATGCCCTGGTTTTTCTTTGTGCATGCACTTGAAAATAAATCATGGCATAGTTTATTTCTAAGTATTAACATCTTTTTGATTTTTTTTCAATTGTTACATTTTTTTAGAATTTATCTTTTCAAATTTCTTAAAATCTTAATCAGGTAAAATGTATTAATATATAGTTTAAATATAATGAGTTGTGGATCTACCAAGATTCATTCCATTAAAATTAATGAGACGGAAACAAATTGGAGTTATCAATGAAAAAATATAAATCTTCATTATTTATTCTAAACAAATTGGGTTTATTTGTATTACTACATAAATCTAATTCTTCATTGCTTCATTTATATTGGACTCAAAAAATGCAGCGCATACATTTTTTTGCCCTGTTTATGTTAAATGTTGTGTTATGTTAAATCTGGTTAATTCAAATGGATGGAAATTTTGTATGCAATGAGGCCTATATATTTCTGTGAGTGTGTAAGCACCATAGACTGTAAATAGAATGGGTGTCGTCTGCCTCTTAGCTGGGTGAAGCCACCGCGAGATGAAGGGCTGCAGTATAGGTCATAGGACATAGGATAAATTTTAGACATTACACAGAATATAATTTTTTCTCCCCCCTGATTGTGATGTTGATATGTAGTTACTGTAAGACTGGTTTGTGCTCAAGTGACACCTGATACATATGGGTGTACGAAGTTTATGTAGCTCCATTAGCGCCATTGGGGGTTCCAGGAAGTGGAGAAAATCCCGAAAGTACCGAGAGCTCTTCGGCTTCAAATTCGTATAATTGTGGAAGGCGGAACCAAGTTGTCCACAGTATATGCAGTCTATGGTAAGCACCATATCCCAAACAGGACCAGAATAGGGACAGGGCTTAAACCCTTTGACTCCAGTTAGTGTATATTTGCTGGTAAACTGAAGTACTGTACTTGTTCTTTGTTGCTGAGAATGATATCAGGAGTTCTTCCACATCTGCAGATCTAAACCTGTATTATCCTTCACCTGTTAACCTTTGAGCACTGAGGCTGCAGACTGTGCAACACAAAATAAAGGCCTGTCTGTGTACAGTTAAATGGTGCGGCTGGCTCTGTTTCTAACAGGGTTTTGACTTCATGGCAAACAGCCAGATGCTCAGCGGCAGCACTGCAGCTTGGCCACTGCTCCTCTCAGTGCAGCCAAAAAACCAGGCCATGCCACACCCAGTTAACACAGCTCTCCCTCGGGTCCTGGTCCCCCGCCCCTCGTGTTGTAGCCGTCCATCTTTCACACCGCTTTCAGACAGCTGTGCTTACTCTGCACTCTGCATGGAGGTCGGAAAAGAAAGAGACAGGTAGAGAAATAGAGTGGGCTTGCTGCTGGATAAAAGCAAGCTTTTTGTTTCGTAATGGAGTCTGGTCTATTTTATTTAGATCAGTCATTCAGACGACGCCTGACATTGGCATCATTGATTTAACATCCTTCATGTAGGAAGAAGGAGTAGGAAAATAAGGAGACGAAGGTGGCTGACACTCCTGAAAAATGAGGAGAGTGACGTGGCTGCTGCAGTCAAGTCATTCATTTAGACACATTTTTCTTAATGGGTACATAAATTGAATGTATGCTTTCTACACATCACCGGCTCCTCACATTCCTTTGCTGCCATACAGAATTTTTTTACAGCTTGTGTAGATGATTTTGGGTTTTATTGGAATGTACAGTATCTAACTCCAGCCACTAAAACAAACCCAAAGAAGTAGAATTGAAGCTACTTCACAGCTGCTGAGTAAAAATTAAAATAAAAAAAATCTGAAATGGTTTACGAACAAGCTTGTTCACAGCCTAAGCCCTGACTGACAGAGAGGAATATGGAATCAGTCTGGCTGTGCATGATCGGCACACAGCCTGATTGAGTCGAGGATTTTCAGCCCTAGAATAAACTGGAGTCTTATCACAGGAGGAGCAGCTGGCTGCCGAGCAGGACAGGTGACAGAGATGATGCTGACAGCAGCCCGGCCTGCCAATCCAACTTCTCTGAGGATTCCTGCAGAGAGGAGGAAAAAGCTGCACAGAGCAATGTGGTTCGAGCAGCGGTCAGCGGGAAGTCACAGCTATATGCTGATTTGGAGATGGCGTGAGGTGCACTGGCTCATGTCTTTTTCCAAAGAAAAATGCAAAATGTGACTTTAAATGTTATGCATTTAAATGTTTCTTTAAATACATAAACAATCAAAAGTCTAACAGGTTTTTGACCCACTGATCATCTAACAACAACAGCTTCACTTACCTTTGATACTGTAGATAAATACAGAATTTTAATATCACCAACTTAGGTCTTGGACATGATCTTTGGGCCTTGTATCAGGACTTTAACAATGATGACCCATACTTGGGTCCGTTTTTTTATTCATTTTTAAAAAATTTTATTTTTTATATACTTCATTATGTTTTGAGCGTTTATATGCTGTCTAGTTCAGCATTTGTTTTGCCTCTCCTGAGAGGCACCATAAATCTGACCTACCACACACCCCAGTAGGTGGCTTTTAATGACAGCCAATTAGGTCTCAGACTGTTAGCGCACCAACAGTAATCTGAAGAAGAGTCACACCACCACTTACAAAGGACAATGTGGCCTTAATACTCCCTAGTAGTCATGAAGAGCACTGTTGCTGTCAGCTGAGCTCCTGGTTTTTATGTCATGAGTAAAAACCTGGGTTGACTTGTCAGTCTGCTGGTTGTGTCTCCAGGCTGTCTGTTTTTGTCAGTGTGGAAAGGATCCACATTTTCTGTCTAAAGTGGAAATGACAGTATCTCCAGGTCCATCAGGACAGGGCAGGAGCAGCAGGAGGAGTAAGGGGGAGTTCATTTCTTTCTGAGCTGGTAGACAGTCCAGATTTAAAACTCCCCTTACCAGACTGACTATGACATCAATAGAGTAGGATGACATATCCTGTTATTTAATAAATTTTTCCTCCCAGTAGTTTTCTTGAGTCTGCTCTAAATCTCTACTTTTTCATCTAAGACCGCAACTTTTAGAGCTTAATTAGTTCATGAAATCTCGCAGTGTGCCAGCCCTGAAGCAGGGTCCCCACGGCAGACCAACAACAGTCTGCTCATTAGGAGAAGCCACTGGTCTGTGTCTGTCGCTCTGCATGGGCTGCTATCACAGTCTCTGAGGCTCACAGGAGGCTTCTGACGCACACACTTGCTAAAACTGCAGGTACAGGTGTGCACACATAAAACTACACCTCAAAAATAGGGTTTTGTTCTTGTCATTTAATGCTTTAAAAAAAGTGAAGTTCAGTGTGTGCCAAGACCTTCACCAGGCCACGCTGCCCCACTACAAAGATTCATCTAAAACTGATTTTCCTCACAACTAAGTAGCTTCAGGACCATTTTGGACAAACAATCTTGAAGGAGGCTCTTTTGGTTAGGTCCTGGAAAAATTGTTTTGATTCACTCCAATATTAATTTTCTGTCTCCTGCTCTAAATAAGATGCAGAAACTAAATCCAAATGAGATGCATATCAACGTTATTTCATAGGCATCTGAATTCAGAGGTTAATATTTAAAAGGGCAAATTTAACAGAGCGTGCAGTATGAAAGGGTAGAGGCAGGATTGGTATGAGGTCTGGTGAGAAGGTTATATAAGTCGAGTCAAGTCAAGTCAAGTTAATTTATAAAGCTCCTTTAAGAAGACAGCAGTCCAACAAAGAGCTGTACATAGGATAAATAAAATACGTAAATTAATAGATAGATAGCAATAAAACAATACAATTAAAAACAGTGGAATAAAATACAGACAGTAAAAGAATAAAAGCTACAGTGCCTGATTCGTGTGTGCTCATTTATCAAATGCGAAGGAGAAAAGGTGGGTCTTTCAGGATGATTTAAAAGTCTCTAGGGTCTGTGAGGCTCTAATATGGCCAGGTAAACTGTTCCAGAGTCTAGGGGCGACCGCTGAAAAAGCCCTGTCACCTCTTGACTTGAGCCTGGTTTTGGAGACACTCAAAAGCAACTGGTCAGAGGACCTTAAGGATCTGGCTTTGGAGTGGTGATACAGGAGCTCTGACAAGTACAAAAGTTAAGGTGTATTATGTAGAAATAGGAATTTTTAATTGTATTTTAGATAGAAATGCTTCCATGATTTGCAAGAGGTCTGTCATAATTTCTGTTTATTTTCAATGCTTAATCTCTTAGTTTTTTTTTCAGTTTGTTTATTATTTCAATCATATTAATTTCCTTAAGAGAACTCACAAAAGGATAACTAAACTTGTATCTTATTTTATCTAATCTAATCAAATCTACTCTATTTTAAGTCTGAC